ATGAACATGTTCTTCGACTCTCACCTTGTTTGAAACCCCCGGTTCTCAGTGTCCACCTTCCGTTTTGCCATTTTTGATGGGTATCTGAAAGCTAATGTCACTGTTATGGGAACGACTGCGAGACGAATAAATATTTAAATAAAGCGGCCGACTGCTTGGCGCGTCACCGTTGCATTGTGGGAAATGTAGTTTTGGTGCGTGTAAAAGATCTGCGGGCTCTCGGCTTGCTGCGGTCCGCGGGCCGGTTCTAATAATAAATCAATATCATCCCAGGGGCCACTGAAAACATTCTCGCGGGCCAAATCCGGCCCGCGGGCCGGCACTTTGACATATGTGCTTTAGGCTGATTTCATGTTAGACACTGCGAAAAATAAGACTATGTGTCTTTATATAGCGGCTATAAACATCTGGTTTTCACCGTACATAATTCAAAAAAGCATAGACATTTCCAAGAAAATAAATGTGGTCCTTTGCCATAACTAGTGGAGAGGCAAGACACTGAAATAACAGAGAAACCTTAGCACCGTTGCATTATTTAAGTAAATAAACAGTTACACCCCTCAAAACTCATTGTCACCTTGGGCAGTTATGCTCAAATAGCAGGATTTCATTATTCATTATTTTAATCAAAAAATTAATGTGAACAATAGGTGTGGCCACGATTTATTCATTATACTACAAATTTAAGTATAGTTTGGGGTTTTTTTTGGACAAGGTCATTTTTAAATAAAATAATGGTTAGTCACCTTGAAAATGCCAACCCAGTCCTTTGGGTGTGGCTTGATGAACTGCGTGAGGGTATAGTGACACTCCAGTGCAGCATGAGGCAGGTAGCTCTTGCCAACATTCTGGAAGATGACATGGGCAAAGTTTGATGTGTCCATGTTGTTGTCTAACAAAGGCCCATCCACGATCAGCGCCATCAATCAGTCAACAATGGCTGTAAGAGATTAAACATCAAACAAAATGAGCAACAAATACCAATGATTATTACTTAATGAACTACAGTGACTAATAAAGCAGTATACTGTAATGCTTACAGCTGTGGCAAAAATATTATTTACAAGTTTCCTATTTTGAAAGCATTAAAGCCCTCAGGATTGTCCTCTGTATGTATCCTATCACAGTAGTGAAGATAGCAAACAAACTGGAGCAAGGAGCTACTTTTGCAACCAGGGAGCAGTTCAGGGCATGGGTGTGTTGCTCAAGGGCAACACAGCCAGGGATCTTGGGTGTAGATGGTCCACTTGCCGCATCCTCTCTAGTTATACACACACACTTTATTAAGCTGATAAGCGTGCTTTTGCCTAATTTCATCTGCGGGTTGATGACTTGAACTGGCATCCCCATGGGGGCAGGCTGCTTTGGCCAAAGGTGCCCCAAATGGCTTGTGTTTGACTCTGGAGGTTGCACTGCACAAGTGTTTAGGATAACAGTCAAACCATTCCGCCAAATAAAAACCTTTCTCCACAGGGTAACAGTGACACCTTTTTCGTTCCCTAGGTAACAACTCTCCATGAACGTATGGCACGGATCAAGTGCCACTGGAAGTGTCCCATGACAAATGTCAACAGGCTTTCTCCAGGACAAACCCTCAAACAATATCCACAAAAAATTGCCACCCTGGCTAACCCTGATATTTTGAAAGGCACGTCTTAAAATTGAAGTCTAATGTACAAATATTAGCTAATAAAGCGGTGCCTTTATTTGCGGGTGCTCCACCTTAAAGTGTTTTTCGAATTAGAAGCAGTCGCTTTGATGAGTTTTTGCTTTGTGTTCCCTGCCACTTGAATGACATGAAAAATAATTCGAATTAAGGTATTGTATTGCCCTTGACTGTGGGTAAGAAGAGCCACAGTTGTCGATGTACTTTCAGTCAACTACACAAATATAAAATGGGAGCACTTGCCACTGGCTGCTGTAGGGGACAACCCATGTCCAAACACTTTTCTAGCGTCACTCACTCGCCCCCGCCCATTAAAGGTACGCATATCACACACAAATAATGTCTTTAAAACGTCTATTATTCTTGTAGAGATACAGTGATATTTTTTTTATTAAAAAAATTTGAGTGGGATTCTTTGAACAAATAAAACTCATTTCAGTCAAAGTGTCACTATAACTTGAAGACAAAGTGCAGTGCAACAGGGAATCAGAAACAGCTGAAGATGGTTTAATAAACGACAGCAACGTACAGGCAAAAAAACATCAAAATGCACATTAGTGTATTTTTAGAAATGTATGTACGTCCCTTAAATAAAGACAACTATTCATGTTAAACACAACGTGTTAAAACGAAGCGATAGCCTGAAAACTACTGACGTTCGATCATTAAATACAGTTGAATGGAACGAATCAATTTTATTTAGAAAATCTGCTTTTGACTCCTGGTAAAATTGGACCTCCAATAACTCGTGGACCTTGTTGCGTGCAAGATAATATCAAAATGTCGAAACTTAACATTCCAGAGAGACTGAGTTCATGGCTAATACTGACAGGCGAGGCCTAGAGCGATTAAAGAGACAACTCGGCGATTAGCTGGCTAATGTTAACCACATATTTACCAAGAGAGGATTGTGCCTCGATTGTCCAAAGACGTAAAAGAAACGTCTCTCGGCTACAACATCAAGCCACTTAACATCTCCGTAAATTCTAACTCAAATTTCCTCTTGACAGCGACTTAATTGTCGACTGGAGGACAGTAAGCTAACGTTAAATTAGCAAACGCCGACTCTCGGGCTTTCAAAAGCGCGCATCAAACACGAAAAATTTGAACATAAACCGCATTATCGGCGAACCATTATCCAATAAACGTTATACATACCCAGTTGCCATGCTGAATAACGACTAAAATCGTTACGTATCATCAAAAGTGACTGTTGACGCAGTTCAGTTCTTCCCCGTATGCGCTTCCTGGAACAACATCAACACAACGTCATTTCCGCGCAGTAGTTCAGTGGGGACTTTTTTAAACCCGAGTAAGGATATTATCAACGAACTAAAAATGTATTTGTCTGCATTGATATTGCCACATTATTATCGTTGTTGAACCTTGGGAAACCTATAATTAAAACATTTAGAGAGTTTTGAATGTAATCATTATATATTTTCAATTAATTGAAATAATAAAACTTGTAATATATAGTTTTACTGTCAAACAATACATACATCTTAAAACAATAACTTAAAAAAATAAACACATGAATGGATGTGTGCGTTGGTTTTCACGCGCACACGCACGAAAAGCGCATCAGCGCAAACCGTCCCTGACCCACCCCCGTAGCCCATTGGCTAACACCTGGGTAGGCGCGTTATTTGATTGGCCGAGGATTCCGTCACTTGCACGTGACTTTGTGTCCGGGCTTGGAAAAGGAGACAAGCATGGCGGCCGTGCTGCGATGGAGTCGGTATCTTATCGGAAGGCGGTGCAAGAATGTTCCCTTTGCGATTGGTAAGGATTTCGAGTTAAGATCGTCGCTACTTTTACCTGTTGGCGTTATAACACTCACAGCCTCAAAGTTTTGCGAGAAACTCTTATTAAAGACATGGTTGAGTACATCTTCAACATACTGTTAAGCTAGTTCAGGGGGCTCGTGTTCTAATTTCCATACTTCTGGAGTTTTTTTTTCTTCCAGTCTCTATTTCAAAGTGTTTTCCAACTAATGGGAGTTTCTCTAATTTACTAAAAAAATATATCAACCGTGGTGGCCTTTTAACCACTGGAAGAAAAGAGCTAATATGTGCAATTTGTTGACTTGAAGGGATATTATGTAATCACTGCACTTACTGTTGGATCTGCGTTTATCCCGACGATGTTAGTTGGAAAACGCATTTTTAACAGATTTTAAACAAGTTAATGTTTTTTTCTATACACTTACTATTTCTGGATGCTTATTTAACGTAGCTGTTTAGTTTTGTGTCGAGATGTAATCTACCCAACCCAGTCTAAAAGGGATATACAACTTACTTAGAACTCACAATCTTTATTTTATTTATTTGTTGTTTTTGTTGTGGCCACGGTGGAAGACAGGTTAGCACACCGGCCTCACAGTGCAGAGGTGCAGAGTTCATTCCGGCTCTAGGCTCCTTGTGTGGAGTTTGTATGTTCTCCACCTGCCTCCGTGGGTTTTCTCCGGGTATTCCTGTTTCCTCCATGCATGGCAGGTTAATGGAGCATTCTTAATAGTCCCCAGGTGTGAGTGTGAGCGCAAATGTTTGATCGTCTATGTGTGCCCTGTGATTGGCTGGCAACCAGTTCAGGGTGTACTCACTGCGCCGTCTGCCCGAAACAGCTGGGATATGCTTCAGCATGCCTGCAACCCTCGTGAGCATAAGTGGATTAGAAAATGGATGGATGGATGGATAAATGGAAACATCAGATTGTGGATGTTGTTGTTATTTTTATTTGTTTGTTTTGTTTTGTTTGCTTTGTTGCCAGTGTGGTAAGGCACAATGTGGCATGACTGCCAAATAGGTAAACACAGATTGAAAGTGAGTCCTCTACCTTAAAATCCAACCATCCATTTTCTATTCATTTTATCTTCACTAGGGTAGTGGGCTCAGCTGTCTTCGGGCAGTAGGCGGGGTACACCCTGAACTGGTTGCCACCCAACCACAAGGCACACATAGACGAATAACCATTCGCGTTCACAGTCACACAGAGGGACAATTTAGAGTGTTACATGAACCTGCCATGCATGTTTTTGGAATGTGGAAGGAAACCGGAGTACACAGAGGCATGTCAAGAACATGCAAACTCCACACACTAAAGTATTATACAGTGTACAAACACAGGAAAATAAAATAAAATGTGACTATTCTGTTGTAGCCTCCACGCGCTCCATGGCCTCCAAGACACAGGTGGGCTTTATTGGCCTTGGAAATATGGGAAACCCGATGGCCAAGAATTTGCTGAAGAACGGATACCCGGTCATTGCCACAGATGTCTTCCCAGAGTCCTGCAAGGAAGTTCAAGAGCTGGGTGCCCAGGTGGGATAGTGAACATATTGATTTTTTTTCTTCTTCTCATTTTAAACTGCTTCAACCGGCATGACTTTTGTCCGTTTCCTCAGATTGTTGATAATCCTGCCGAAGTAGCGGACAAGGCTGACCGCATTATCACCATGCTTCCCTCAAATCCGAATGTTATTGATGCATATACTGGCACCAATGGGATTCTCAAGTATGGCTTTCCTTTTCTCCTTAGCCCCCCGAATAACTTGTGAAGAGTTTCCAATTTAACAAGCTTTTCTATGTTCCTAACAGGAAAGTGAAGAAGGGCTCTTTGCTTATTGACTCCAGTACAATCGATCCTGCCGTTTCCAAAGACATGGCAGCGGCGGCGGAGAAAATGGGAGCAGTTTTTATGGATGCACCTGTGTCAGGAGGTGAATTTTGTACATAGTATTTATGGGAATATCGGTGGCATGCACGATTCTGTGTGTGCGCACACCCTTAATTGCCTGTGGGTCATAATTGAATGTTCCAACTGTGCTAGAAGATGTTTCTTCTACCTTATAGACATTTTTGAGGATGTGGTTGACTTTTGAATTAGTTTCCTATTTCATTTGTTTACTGATGGTGATCGCGCATCATAGTGAGCTAAAGGTTAGATTAGGTTCCATACATTTTTTTTTAAGTCCACCTTCTCAAAGTAAAAGGTCACTTCTGTAATGTGTGGTGGTGACTTGTGGCTGCAATTGTGTGCATGTCTGATTTCAATCACCCTGATAAGATCATAGGAGGAAAAATTTGGATGTGATGGAATCGGAAGAAGTACAGTGGAGTGGCAATTACTGTTTAATCCTGTATGGTTAAATCATACATGTTATGCACATGTGGAGGTGGGGACCTAATTGAGTCAGCATGCGTCTTTCTTGCTGATTCTTCATGTGGAACAATGTCAGGAACAGATGAGAAAACTGCCATCTGATTTCTCTTTAGAGTGGAAAGGATTACTCCAACAATTTCACACGTGGAAAGAGACGACATTTTAAGTGTGTGTGTGTGTGTGTGTGTGTGTGT